ATGAACTTACTATATAAGGAATATCTGACTATCAGTAAATGATATTTTAATGGGCGAAACAWGACACACTATGGCGTTTAAATCAAATATTAGTAAATATATGTCATTAATAAATAATTTCCTTTTATATTTTTTAATTTCCTTTTATATTTAGCAACAATATTTATAGCTTTAGCTATTTATTAGAATACATTTGCTAGGTATTTACTACCTCAATATATACAGCTCTGCGTTGCTACCTCTGAAAATCCAAGATGGCCGCTATTCACCCCTCAGAAAGCTACCACGAAAAGGTTATCTACTGTATATACTGTGGTCGCAAGAAACTTGTTGGCAAAGGCATGCACGGGGAGATGTTACGGCGTTTATTTTTATGAATGAAGCGAGGTCGTTTGTCGAATTTCGCGTGAATTTCGTGTTGCGTCGCGGTGAACGGGTTTTTAAAAAAGTAAAAGAAATCAATTTGTATTGCAACGAGGTGACGTTGATGGCGATCAGGAACAGACAACCTTATTTTATAAAATTGACTTAAAATGAAGCTTATTCTAATTACAACTTGCGTATTAACTTACTTTTAACATATAATTGCTGAATAAGCATACATTTATTAATTCCCATAGTTCTTAAGAATTTCACTTGTTGAATTATATTTTGATTATTTTATTTGTTTAAGAAAATTGCAAAAGCCGGAAACGGTGTTATGTTGCAATTTGTTTTAACAGTTCATCCTATTTGTCAATTGCCTTGTCAGTTGTTTTTACGTACGTCCTCGTACATGTAAGTCGTGCGTTTCGCCATTAGTCTGCCATATTTAGACAGTTGTTGTTTTTGTARAACAATGCTTCAATTTTTTGTTGGAGACATATTCACATGTGTACGCATATGTATGTTTGTATGTTTGTGTATTATTTATTCGGAAGTGTATACAAATATATGTACATATAAGTATATATGAATGTATGAGCATGCAGATCAATGCGCGCACATGCATTATTGATTGATAGTGATAAAAACATGATTTGAATTTCTGAACGCGCACATGCGTATACATGCAATCATATGAGCAGATAAAAAGATTAATATGATAGGCGATATACTTATTTATACTATATTGTTGTGATAAATACAATTTTTATTAGTAAGAAACATAATACAAAAATATTTATTAGTATATTAGAGTATATTATGCAAAAATCAAATAAAGTTATTAAATATACAAGTCGAAATAGACTATAAATATTACTACGCATGCATTCATACAAAATTATACTCATATCATTATTTTTACATGTCAACATTGAATTGCCGAYGGCAAAACGCAAAAGCATACATATTTGCATACACTGCGAAAGCGACAGTTGAAGCATGGAAATATCACAATGCTGCTGTTGGGAGTATCACAAGGAGCATGCGCACATATATTTATGTCCCTTCATATTCT